TGAATAATAATATTGAAAAATCAAGATTTATAATAGGTATTAATATCTGTTTGTATAAACTATAAAATAGCCTTGTCAGGTTTATTTTCTCCCCTGAAGGTCAGAAAGGGCATGAGAACAGCAATATTCAGATTGTAAATTGCGCTGCATGAACACTAAACTGTGTCTGAAATTTATGTTGGTACTTTCGGCGTCAGCTCATCGCCGACAGTGTACCTTTAAATAACATAAGTGAACCAAAAAGGGCAGATTCTAATACTCATCTAAACATGTACATATAATGAAGATTGTACTGCCCCAAGTGTCTGTAGTACGATGCAGGCCATTCAAGACGTCATAACTTTTAGTGACCAACACAATAGCAATCTGTCAATACACATTAGTACAATATGGGTATTTGTGATTCACATAGTGCCACAATGCAAGGCACACCTGTCCCAGACTGTTGTTTACTTGCGAATTGTATGTTCCGCTCTTGGCATTTTGTCAATAAACTTGGAGTAACTGTAAACAAAACAGCAAGACATGCGAGTGCATGATATACCTTCATTTATAGATATCAACAAATGCTTTTAGAAGGCTTACTCAAAAATCTCAAAAATCAAAAATGGTCTCACAAACCATTTACAACAAGTAATCTTGACTGAAACTGGTCATTAACTTTACTCAACATTATTTGCACACTGAATTACAATTACATCACTATAAGTCAATGATACCTACTTTCAGTACCATCCCTCCCTCCCATCAACACAAACTTCTAAAACCAATCATATTATTGTCTTATGCTTATATTATAGGGATAAATTTGTCTTCCTTTTTTGTACCTCCAATCTAATTAAGGTCATGGTTCACTTTTAATACAAGGCAGTTGGGTTTACATCACTTTTAATACAAGGCAGTTGGGTGTACATCACTTTTAATACAAGGCAGTTGGGTTTACATCACTTTTAATACAAGGCAGTTGGGTTTACATCACTTTTAATACAAGGCAGTTGGGTTTACATCACTTTTAATACAAGGCAGTTGGGTTTACATCACTTTTAATACAAGGCAGTTGGGTTTACATCACTTGTAATACAAGGCTGTTGGGTTTACATCACTTGTAATACAAGGCAGTTGGGTTTACATCACTTGTAATACAAGGCAGTTGGGTTTACATCACATTTAATACAAGACAGTTGGGTTTACATCACTTCTAATACAAGGCAGTTGGGTTTACATCACTTTTAATACAAGGCAGTTGGGTTTACATCACTTCTAATACAAGGCAGTTGGGTTTACATCACTTTTAATACAAGGCAGTTGGGTTTACATCACTTCTAATACAAGGCAGTTGGGTTTACATCACTTCTAATACAAGGCAGTTGGGTTTACATCACTTTTAATACAAGGCAGTTGGGTTTACATCACTTCTAATACAAGGCAGTTGGGTTTACATCACTTTTAATACAAGGCAGTTGGGTATACATCACTTTTAATACAAGGCAGTTGGGTTTACATCACTTCTAAATACATCTGACCAAATGATTGCATTTAGAGAGCTCCCTTCAGACCAGATTTGTCAACCAATTAGAACACTCCTTACAAAAGAGCAGTCTGTAGGTAACACAGGTTCTAATTGGATGTTGATCCTACCAGACCTTGCCAATAATATTTGACCAATAACTTACACCACTCACTTGTTTGCTGCCTATTCTCAGATGTTCAGTTCAATGGTGCAAACACACCTCCTTTACAAATTGAACTTTCTACCTTTGAGGTTGGTTTAGTGCATGGAGGTATATATCTGTTTATACCTTCATGGTTAGTGGGACACTCCCACTATTGTCTGCAATTTGTTTGTACAAAGGGTTGCATTATAAAAGTTCTTTTCATATCTTATTTTTCTTATTGGTACTCTTGTACTAATACAACTAAAGAATTAGTTTAGTACAGCAGCATCTTCTATCCCAAGAAACGCAGCCTTGGAAGTTGACAGGTATATTTACGTTTCTCACTCTCATTAATGTAAGGTTTCTACTGCATAAACCAGTTAATTTTCATGAGAATGCATTCATGGAGACATAATTTTGCGAGAGTCGCTAACACTTGTACACTTATGCCGTAAGACCCCCCCCCCCCAAATGCTCACTGCTAAAAAATTTCTTGATTTTCACTGACTCAAAAATCTTGTCTCTTGGTAAATTAGAGCGGTTAACAGTAACTTCATAAACTCCTGTAGGTTTAATTAATAAATTGGTTGAAGTTAATATGCTAACCAGCATTTTGGCTGCATCCACAAACTTTAGTTGCATTTAAGATGTCTTGTTCCTTTCAGGACCATTGATTTAATTCTACCCAGATTGGAGATTTACATTTTGTACTAATGTAAAGTGGAGCTCTAGATATTCTGCAGTCAGACACTCTCATGCTAACTTTTGTCAATAATAACTGGTAGATAGTTTTGTATATCATATTTTTTCCACCCATTTTTTGTTTATTGTATGTATTATTCTATTATTTAAAAAAACTGGGAAAAATTAGACGTGTTTGATTTGTAAAAGATTACAAAGTTGACTTTGCCGGTGAAAAGGTTAAAGACCTGTGTTACATTTGTGTACCATGGGCTCACGAAAATAAACTACAATCTCTGTACTGCATGTACTCTGGATTTTTTTTGTTTTCTTTCAAAATTGAAATCCTAAATCTCATTTGCTACATATTTATATTTTGTATGCTACATGTGTTTGGTATCCTATAAAGGTACTTCTCTGTGATTGTACACCCTGAATTCATTTTCCCCTGTAATCATGATACATTTTGTATACCTAACCAGCAATATTGTCAGCTAATAGAGAATTTTCTGTTCTCTGCGAGATCCCACGTAGTGACGTTATACATTAATATTGATCGTGAAAGAAGGACAAAGGTCATAGCGCCGCAGTGGTGACAAACATCGCATGGGATTTGACAAACACAAAAGTATGTTGGGAGATATTTCCATCAAATGTGTACAGTATATGTACACATTTGATGGTCAATTTCGATGAAGAAGGGTATACAAACGCAATATTCCTCTGTCATCTCGCAGTTGAACGAAAAATCACCTATTGGCTGACTAAACTGATCTGTTACCAGCAATATTGCTTTCAGGTAGCCAGTAGATTGTTATAAGATTTTGGAGGCAACATTGCTTTAGATGAAGATAAGGTTGGTTTATGAAACAAACTTGCAGCCACAATAAATGTATTTTGCGCAACACAACTGAAAGTTTATTTGAAAAACCAAAGACACTAGAAAATATTTTCTAGTGTCTTTGGAAAAACATATCTTCTGGAAGGATGATATTTCTGTTGATTATTGATAACCATCAACGACTGCCAATGCATATATCCGACACAATTAGACACTCATGCCTTATTAGCATAAATTAGCATTGTTATGTAAAAGTAAGCTTTTTCTGTCTTTTTGGCCCTCAAAGTTGGTCATGTGATACAAATGTTATCACTTGTTCATACAGCTGGTGGATACAAATCTCTGCAGCTGTTATCAACTTTTTTCCAAATCAAACCTACAAATAAGTATTAAAACAACACTGGCTCTAATGGTAAGTCAGTATTAAAATGCTTAACTACAGATAACAAATTGTTTAAACTAGTTTAAAACAATATTAAACAAATTTTGCTCACATTTGTCTTTATTTAATTCCATGTTGGTGTAAGCAATTTTGTTTATGCCTCAGCACATCACCTGTTGTAGATAAAATTACAATAAAATTATACTGTTATAATAAAAAAGTAATAATAAATTCAGTTGAAATAAAAGTATAATAAGTACATTGCAAAGATGGTAATATTAAAAAAAAAAGTTTAATTTTGCTGAAACATTTGTTCCTCAATTCACTGCAATGACCACACTGAATGAGAAAGTGTATTATTAAAGTGATTGTATGGGACAATTATGACATCTCATCTTGGTTATTGCCACGAGTTTGGTGTAAAATTATCTGGAAATACATCATGAAAAAGACCGACATATTACCAATATGTACAAGAGATGTCCAGAATATTTACAATTTCTTTAATTGCATGGATAATAGATTGTTGAAACTAATAACTTGTAAATATTTCAATCACATATTCAACCAAAGCTTAATTAAATATACTCTTCAAATATTTTCCTAAATAACTTGCATGAATGTGATATTCTTGAAAAAAGCATTATTGTTATTGTGAGACATGTACATGTAATCTTAGCCAGCTAGAAAAAGCTACCTACATGTTCTTTAATAAGTCATGTATGCCAACCATGTTTTTCAATCTATCTTGCATGGGTGGTATACATTGCTGGTATGTACATGTATATGTATTGGCAATTAGAATGCTTTGAAAATAGGTCAAGTGTTTTTGGTAGCAGCAGATTCCTTCAATGGGATTACTCCATACATTAAACCAGAGGGACTGTTATTACCGGTAACATGCTACTACAGACTCACCAAGAGCACTGGTTTCCTCATTTCGGATTCTGTAATATTTTCACAACTTACCTAACCCACTAGGAGCACTAGTTTCATCATTTCAGTTTCAGTAATATTTTCATAACTTACCGAGTCCCCACTGTGTATGACCTGGAATTTTAATACAGAGTTGTATATATAATTTCATTTTTCGTTCACCAATTTAAAACAACACTGTTTTCCTAAGAGACCCTATCACAATAGATGAACTTGTATATTTACAGATCCTTTTACTAGCTCATTTCTCATATGATTGGCCAAGCATTAAAAAGCTCCGCCCAGGACCAGCATTCCCTCCATATTATTTAGGTATTAGGTTTCAAAGCTTGTTACTGTTTCAGTTATTGACCTCTGCCTGTTATGCTTTCATCTATCCAATTTTCATCCTGGACTCCAATGGCCAGTCTATGAAGCTTTTCTGTGCTTGTTTAGTTTCTGCATCTTAGATATTTTGTGCATCTGATCAGAACTTAACAGGCTTGTAGGATTATTCTTCTCCAGAATGGCTGGATATCAATGGGGACGCACAGGCTCCAAGGGAAATTTTGCAGAGCAGCAGGTTGTATTACAGATATTGTTTACCTTTATGCTTACTGAATTGTTTGTGGCATGCAGTTTATTATCAGCTTCTTTCTTTGAGGTGCATACATAGTGAGGATGCATTGTTTAATAGTTCTGAAATGTTACATGTGACCTCAAAATCAGATCATCTGTATGTGATGGCTTGCTTTTGGAAATTTCAAAATATGTATACAATGATGCATGCACTGCTTGTAATGTCAAGGTTTTGCACACCCTGATAAACGGGTTTAATATGAGTATAGTTTTCTTTAATCATCACTGCTTGATTAAAAGGTTTAGTGAAATTGTAATTGGTAAATCATGATATCCATTAATTTAATAGTTACCAAGCTGAGGTCTCAAGGCTACATCTGCTTGTGATTTTGGTTAATACCCATCTGTGATGAGCTCACATTCATTTTATTGGTAACTTTTATGAAGTTAGCAGGATCCATATCTTTAGATGCACAGAATTGCAAAAATATTTCCAGCAACAAGGTTCCTTGATTAATCACCCATAATCATGAGAATTTTCACTTGACTATGAATGTAACTGATAAACCCTACATGAGCCCCACTTTTGAAAGGCAAAGTATTGACTACTGTAAATTGCCATCCCATAAAACAGTACATTCCAGTTGCACATTTGATTTATCACTTTCCAGTGCAACTGACTCGACTATTCTCATGGCTTTAGGCATCTCAACCAGTGACACTGAATACCAGGCCATTAACAAAGGTCTTCCCAATTATAAATGACATTGTACAGAGATGTATTCACACTTGAATGATAGTCTGCAAACCTTTTCCTATATCTTATATGCATTACCAAGAAAAAACAGAAAATATTTAGTTATGAATCCATCAATACACGTGTATTGTTGAATAATTTAATTTTAAATCATGTTCAAGGGATTTATCTGCTTCATATATTGATGAACCTTTGACCAGATATTTATGAAGTACAAAAATGTACATGGAAGTTACAAACCTGATGATTTGTGAGGTGATGTCATATGTTTCCTGTAGCCATGAATGATGAAGTCTCTTGTGGGTGTGATTTCACAAGTAAAACACTTGATCCCCATTATGCATGAATTTGAATATAAAAACAGAGCAAACAAATGTCATAGCATTGTAATGACATTAAAACATTGTGTGGGATTTAATTGACAATGCGAAAATATTTTGGTGGTATTTCCACGCTTAATAATATGCTATACACATTTAATGATGGCCATTTTTGATAGTGAGGGTATCTCAACACCGTATTTCCCTCTACCAAAGGTCGTCATTTTGACATTGATCAAAAAAAGTAAATTCAAAATTAGATTGTTTTTTTGCAACAGGCGTTTGCAATATGCAAGATTTCACAGTGACCGAAAAATCACTACCGGGTAGTATTGGTGAAAGTGCAGCGAGGGGGCATGCCACAAAATAAGAGGAAAGAGTTAGCTTCATGTTTAGTCGTTAAGTACCCTGAGCAAACCACTGAATTGAGATCAAACATTCCTCTCTTAAAAATAAGTAAGGCATTAAAAAATAGCAAATATGTTTTATATCAAATTCTACTTTTATTATCTGACTATCCAGATCTTATATCATATATATTTTCTCTATTGAAAGCATGATCTTATGTAAATACCCTGCTTAAACAACCACCCCTCCCACCCACCCAAGATCAAAAAGAAAAAATAAATTGTTGGCTTTTATATGATATATATAAACTCAACCCACTGACACTGAATCACTTGCAGACCTGAATAAGGCAGTTGTGACATAATGACTGTGCTATCCTGCTTCATATTAGGGATAGCAGAAATTATTTTTTGTGATATACCATTCAAAAGTGCTTTTAAATAGAGCAATTATGGTAAATGTAATTCAATGTTCAATAAATAAACTAAACATGATGATTGTAACATAAAGTAATTGACTGTGATTGGACAAAGAATGTGGAGGTCATTTCATGCTATGTTGTGTACTGTGTTCACAGCAACATGGTTCTGCACCATTTTTGTTTTTCATTTTCACATGCGTTTTTAATATTTCATTTGTAATTTTCAACCATAATCTGTTTTAAAAATAAAAATAAAAATAAATACCATTTAATATATTGAGTTTGCAATGTGATAATAAATTAGTGCAGGTTAGATAAAATAACATGCTTTACAGTAAATATAAGATGATGGAAAAACATCTGCAAGAATGTTTTTTTAGCTCCGCTGTCGACTTTGTCGAGCAGAGCTTATCATATGAGTGATTGTCCGTCGTCGTCGTCCGTGTCAATGTTTTACTTTTTCGACTTCTTCTTGAAAACTACAAGCCTGAATGCTTTCATACTTGGTGTATATGTACCTTGGGTAGACCTCTCTCAGATTTGTTAGCTCCGCTGTCGACTTTGTCGAGCGGAGCTTATCATATGAGTGATTGTCTGTCGTCGTCCGTGTCAATGTTTTACTTTTTAGCTCCGCTGTCGACAAAGAGCGGAGCTTATCATATGAGTGATTGTCCGTCGTCGTCCGTGTCAATGTTTTACTTTTTCGACTTCTTCTTGAAAACTACAAGCCTGAATGCTTTCATACTTGGTGTATATGTACCTTGGGTAGACCTCTCTCAGATTTGTTCATTTCATGATGATATCTTCAATTCTCTAATTTTGGTGAATATTTTTGTCATTTTTGTTAAAAAGTGATA